TCTTATATTATTTCACTTAAATACTGTTTCTAATATGTCTAGTTTTATCCTCCTGAGACCCAGAAGAACCAATTTCAGAGACTTGGAATGTAACTGTGGTGAAGTCGATTAAGTGCAAAAGTGGCCTGCCATACTAGTGAGCTTCCTCATGCTGCTGAAATGATCTGCTCACAGAATAGACCCCGACTGTTAAATTAACAAGATGGACGAGCGAGCAACCGTCCACATCTTGTTTTCATCTCCAGCTAACAAGACAGAACTGTTTTTCAGACTCCGATCTGGGTCAAAAAAAAACTACGGTTGTTTCGCTATGCGTGCGTGCACGCGTGTGTGTACAGATATTTGCTTCAGGGTGGGTACAATTATTGACCATTTCCCCGGTACACACAGCCTGGTGAGGTTAGGGTTTGGGTCAGGTGTGTAGTCTACCTGGGAGGTTATGGTTGGCTATAGAATTGATGGGGAAATGAATGGAAGCCAATGCAAAATCCCCGTTACGATAGAACAACAAACGTGTGTGGAGCGGAGCCCGTGAGCAGAGCGCTGTTTTATTAGGAGAGATGAGACTGTCGGCGGGCTACCATTGATACTGCTGGATTATTTTTATGGAACATGATGAAAACTTTTAGTTTCAGCGGGCCTCTTAGCTTTCACATGTATGCTATGTTTTGACATGCTATATAAATCTGGTCCTTCAAGTGCATCCACGAATAATGTTCAGCGTTTTAGTTCATGATTGCTGGTGGATGGTCCGTTTCAGAAAGCAGGTTCTGTACTTGAACTCGGGGAAGGGAGTTTCTCTCTGTTCTCATCATATTACTGAACTGGGTCCAGTTTTATCTGAGGATGGACTGTGTATTTGAAGACATCTACGTTGAGAAAATATATTGATAATAGATTGTTTACTGCAGTCATTGTACTAAGTCTACAGTTTTTTTTCCAGTTATAACTCAAGTGGCCGCATGGGGGTCACATGTTGCACATTTCCAAAACAAAACAAAATCCAGTTATTTTGCTATCCTTCAGAAATTCCTGTTACAATTTAAAATGTACAATGGTAAGGACTCTGAGCATAACACTCAGTGGGGTAGTTAACCCACAGTGCAGCACATTATTTTGTGACTTGGATAGTGATTCTGGCAAGCTTAATTCACACAACATGTCTATCAATACTGAGATGTGAAATTGGCAACAAAGACTG